CCCCAAAACCCCAAAACCCCAAAACCCCTTCACAGATGAGAGATGTTGAAACATTGAAGATATTTTTTTCTTTTATGATTAGTTAATTGGCTAACTACTAGAAAACTATTCTCAAGAAGTTGCCCCTCTACATGTCTGCTTAGTTAGCTCTCTGGAGTCTTCTACCGGTCATTCCTCCTGTCATTCCTCCGAAGATCTGGTTGAAGGCTTCGTTGATTTGTTGAATCATGTCATTGGCTATTTGAATATGAGAGGAGCAAAAATACCATTATTAGCTAGGCCAGCAAAATCATTAGTGACGGCGTTGGTGTCATCAGTTACATCAGTTTGAGTGGCTTGTTGGAGTCTGGTTGGTGCATTAACAGTGGCTCCTTGGGCACCCATAGCATTCTCGAATCCTTGGAGAGCGTTGTTGGTCAATAACTCAGTTTGATCAAGAGCGTCATTGAAAGCGGTTTCTCCATCTTGGACAGCTCCGAGAGTGGCCTGGTTGAGAGTTCCGATGTCTTGAGCGAGGTTTCCTTGCTGAAGTCTAGTTCCTCCAACAGCAGCTCCAGTGAATTGTCCAGCAGCGTTGAGACCTTGTCCAATGAATTGGTTAGCCATGCCTTCAGTGGCTTCAGTGGCGTCGTTGAGGAGTCCTTCGGTGTCAGTAAGAGCTTGGTTACCATCTTGGATACCTTGTTGCATGTCAGCCATGAGTTGTCCCATTCCATTACCTTGTCTATGTTGAGTTAGATCATTGTTCAAACACAGTGAATAAATTCTTCATGAAATGCTAATGAATCATCAGCTGAGCAGATGAATGATTTCTATCGCTAGCTACTAATGATTAGCTGCACATATGAATGGAGTCTTACCTGATTCTGAAGGCACTTGTCATAGCAAGAGCCAAGCAAAGTACGATTGCTAGAGAAATTTTCATTTAGATTTTAATTAATTATAAAATCTGAGATATTTAAAGTATTTGAGGGTGCTGGAGGAGAACCCACCAGTTTCTGGATCAGCACTCGAGCATCTGCTTGAGTTATTGAGGCCCATTACTGATCAAGCATGATGTTGAGAGTGCCATAGCTGTGAGAAGTTTTGTAGAAGGCTTCTTGGAGCATCAATATTGGTGATATAAGTTTGCAATTGTGGTACCAAAATATGGACATGATTTTCCTCATCATATCAATATCAAGAATTCTCTAATCATAAAATACTCTGCTGAGCATATCATTAAATACAGTTGCATTTGTTCATATCTCTAAAGGGTCTCTTATAGCATTACCACACTCTTTGGATGCTGAACTTGCCTTGTCTAGAGCATTTGCTGCCTTCTATTAATTTGAGACCTGTGATACTCAGGTGGTTAATGATTCCAGCTATTTCTGAGCTAAGTATTTATGAAGCTGCAAATAAGTAGATTTTCTTTGCAAATCACATGAAAGATCTTTCATTATTTATATTTTGAGAGAACCATACACAGTTTTAGCCTCTGGGTTAATGATAGTTGGACTCTGATGAATTAGCATGTGTAAGATGGTAACAGATGTCAGTTCTATTCTGGATGTCTAGTAAAAGCCTGGGTATATACTCACTACTCTATCAATAACTCTAAAATTTCAGTCAATTTGAGATTGCTTTGTCAACTCTCCGGATTTAGCTTATGATTTTCCTTAAAGCTAGACTGACAGGGCTAAAGTCCTCGTCTATTTGCTCTGCTGCACTAAGAAGCTACAGGTTTGGCTTCTTAAAAAACCAATATTATTAGGCTTACAATCGATTATACAGATCAATGTGAGCTATTTAAAAGAAAGCATACATGAATAATTAATTCTGTGAATTAATAAAGAAAATAATATGACAAAAATATAGTGGTGAGTAGTAAACTGAAAAGAAAGCATCCGAGTGGTAAAATGATAATAAAGATGCATCTTGATTTCTTCTTAAGCTTCACAACTATATTAACCTTCTCTTGCTTTCATGAACACATGATAATGAGGAACAAAGTCAAGGCATGAATTCAGATCAAATATTGCCTGTCACACCATTTCAAGTTGTTAAAACTCCTAAAAATTGTTCCAGAATATCGACATTTTCCGGCTCTAATGCTAGTACATACTTCTGTACCAAAACATGTTTTGATAGGAGTGCTTTTGACCCAGCTAATGGTTTAGGAAGGTAGGACATCTACAACATATAGGAAGAGGTGCCAACCATAGTTTCAATTCAATCATTTATTATCTCTGAGGGGTTTTGGGGTTTTGGGGTTTTGGGG